AGGTGGAGACAGGTGGAGGCAGGTGGAGGCAGGTGGAGACAGGTGGAGGCAGGTGGAGACAGGTGGAGACAGGTGGAGACAGGTGGAGGCAGGTGGAGACAGGTGGAGACAGGTGGAGGCAGGTGGAGACAGGTGGAGACAGGTGGAGGCAGGTGAAGCAGTTCAAACTGAACTTAAGCAGCTATGAGACACACTGACTAATCAACATGTTTAATTTTAAATAAATCCCATAATCCTCTTCTTCAACACTGTGACAGATATCATCAGGTTAATAACAAACAGGACTCTGAGGAGTTTCATTTAAGGGATTCCTCCTCTCATATAAGGGATTATTTATAACCATTAACTCCTGTTGAAGAACACATCAGTTTCATTTAATCTGTAAATGTTGTTTAAGAACTTTTTCAAACTCAATCTGAAGTTTTAAAAACTGTTTACAGTGTTTCTCTTTAAATGTGTGTGTGTGTGTGTGTGTGTGTGTGTGTGTATGTGTGTGTGTTTACCACATTGAGGCTCCTTGTAAACAACACTCTCCAGGCTGAACAGCAGATCTCCAGTTTGAGACGCTGACAGCAAACGCAGCATGAACAGTACAAACAACACGTTAATATGTTCATCCATCCATCCATTCACTCATTCATCCATTCATAAATTCATCATCCATCCATCCATCCATCCATCCATCCATCCATTCATAAATTCATCATCCATCCATCCATCCATCCATCCATCCACTCATCCATCCATCCATCCATTCACTCATTCATTCATCCGTTCATAAATTTATCATCCATCCATCCATCCATTCATTCATTCATCCATCCATCCACTCATTCATTCATCTGTTCAAAAATTCATTATCCATCCATCCATCCATTCACTCATTCATCCATCCATCCATCCATCCATCCACTCATTCATTCATCCATTCATAAATTCATCATCCATCCATCCATCCATCCATTCACTCATTCATCCATCCATTCACTCATTCATTCATTCATCCATTCACCCATTCATAAATTCATCATCCATCCATTCATCCATCCGTCCATCCATCCATTCACTCACTCACCCCCTGAGCTCAGCCTGATCAGTATCTTCTCTCTGTACGAACTCTCTGAGCTCTGTGATGTGTCTGAGACGACCTGATCTGTACCTGGTCAGTGAATCAGTCCCTGAGTCACATGACTGACCCGTGTTTCACTGAGCGGATTATTCCACCATCTGTACCTGTTACTCAGGTTACATTAATAAATGATTCTGATTGGCCGCTAGCTGGCGGGGCGTCTGATATATAATTGTACATGGACAACTTTTTTAATGTCTTGTTGTTCTATTGTCTTGCATGTGCTCAATTTGAATGTGCTTTAACCCCCAATGTCTCTACATCTACTACTGTCATCCATCACAACTGATCACAACCACAACAAGCTCTATGTACTGGACTCTGCACTGCTACAGGCTGACACACTATCCACACAGTGCTTACAGCCCCCTCTCCCCCGTCTGCTTGTTACCTGGTTGCACCCAGAAACAAGACATAAAGCTTACACATACATAAGGCACTGGAGGCAACATGATGTGTGCAATATTACTGTTATGTGTCGCTGGCCGACTCTATGCTGCGACGATAAGATGGTTATGTGTTTTAATGTATCTTAAATTGTAATTGCATATTCTGTGTGTACTGTATTGATTTTTTATTACTTTTTAGGAACTATGCTGATAAACATCTGGCAGGGGGACTACCAATGTAAATCAGCCCCTGGCTGCAATTGGGTGCATCTACATTTTCTTTTTTCTTCTTTAAAAGGAATGTTCATTGATGTACACTGTCCCTTCTTAAACAAATAAACTATTAAATAAATAAATGGTCGCCGTGGTTACCGTCAGCTTCAGGATGGAGACACACAGGAGACTGTGACACTGAGCTGACAGGAAGTAAACTGACTGAGCTCTGCTGTCGTTCATGGTGTGTGGTGAGCTGTGGACGGGGCATGATGCACGACAACCTCAATACTCAATACAACCTCAATAAATGTTTTGTATTGAACTTATAAAACTAAACAAAGGTTTCTGTGACACACAAACATTTTCCTAAGTGACTGCAGCTTGTTTATGTGTTTGTGTTATTTATGTTTGTGCTGTTTATCTGTTTGTGTGTTTGTGTTTATGTGTTTGTGTTATTTATGTTTGTGCTGTTTATCTGTTTGTGTGTTTGTGCTGTTTATCTGTTTATGTTGTGTATCTGTTTGTGTTGTTTGTTTGTGCTGATTGTGTTGTTTATCTGTTTGTGTTGTTTACCTGTTTGTGTTGTTTATCTGTTTGTGTTTGTGTTGTTTACCTGTTTGTGTTTGTGTTGTTTATCTGTTTGTGTTTGTGTGTTTATGTTGTTTATCTGTTTGTGTTGTTTATCTGTTTGTGTTTGTGTGTTTGTGCTGTTTATCTGTTTGTGTGTTTGTGCTGTTTATCTGTTTATGTTGTGTATCTGTTTGTGTTGTTTGTTTGTGCTGTTTGTGTTGTTTATCTGTTTGTGTTGTTTACCTGTTTGTGTTGTTTATCTGTTTGTGTTTGTGTTGTTTACCTGTTTGTGTTTGTGTTGTTT